TATGGAAGTAGCAACCTTAAATGCGAGTCATTTTATATATGAATAATGCTGAATGATTGATGCACAAACAACACTGAAAAATATGTCACTTTTATGGGAGTAATTTGGCAAAAATTGCATGAAAATAAAGAACCAGGGGTTTAATTCATGGGGGGAAGGATGAAAATGAAAACAGGAATATCAGAGCTGAGAAATCTGAAATCACCCCTATATCTAGATCATACCCAAGGATCAACAGCTGTCTATCTACAGCAATCCAAAATCAACAATCCACAAGTAGATCCTCCTACGCAAATTTGTATTGGCGGAGAAAAATTAAAAATTATATTGGAAGCAAAAGCTGTATCTTATGTCAAATCTGTCCTATGCTCCTTTGGGTGGAAACATGATAGCTACCAATCTGAACTCAACACAAAGCCACAGCCATCTATTTAGAATGACTGACAGGAATGCTTGTTACACTCACTTATGTGCTTTCACATATATGTTATAGGATTTGAGTAGGGCTTTTTTTTTTTTTTTGAAAAAGAGGTGCCAGAACTTTCAAGAAGGAAATGGAGTTTTCAATCTGTATACTGAAAACTTGTGAACTTTTAAACATTTGAAAAAGAATTTTGTTGAAGAGGTCCCAGAACTCTGTTCTGGCATGTTCCCCCCAGAAAAAAAGCCCTGGTTTGAGTATTTAAAAAAAAAAATCAGTGTTGACCTGTGCTGCATATATAACCCCCAAATTTAGCTCTATTAGTGAAAAGAGGATCCATTAATTTCTTTGGCTAACCATTTCACAGGCAACACCTCCAAAAGGGCCAATTTCTATTTTTGTACAGTTTCTTTGTCAACCATTTCCTTATTTTATTCTAAAAAGAAGCTGACTCACAGATGGGGCTTGCTCACACTAGTAGCAGGTGGTGGGGGTGGGGGTGGGGGTGGGGAGACAGGACAGAAATCATCTCATTGTACAAGAAACAGGTCCCACCCTTTCCTCCGTGCAGTTAATTTTACTACATCTTTTGGTAAGCATTCAATATGGAATTGTTCCTGGCATCAGTCCCGCAGGTTTCCCTGCTCTGTTTTGGGCAAGTTTTATATTTTGGTAAACCTCTATTAATAGCTGTGTTCTTTGGGTTATTAAAAACACAGACACAAATGCACCCAAATGAGGGGTTGCTCAGTAAGAAAAAGTCACAATCTATTTCAGCAGGCAGATGTAGATATCTGAAGGTACACCATCGTGACACGGGGCCATCTCCTGGCTCATAATCAGAACAAAATAATGATGTAAAAGTACAGACAACTTGAGAAAAGGGGGAAAGAACTCCCAACCCACATAACAGAGCACTTGAAGTAATCTAGAAATGGGTAGACTGAAGAGACCCGAGCCAGAATGAAACTAAAGGTAAAGGTTTCCCTTGCTCGAAAGCCAAACTACTGCAATCCTAATTACAATATCCTGACTCTCTCCAGTCCTTGTCTGACAGGCTGACTCCTACACCACACTGACTATTACTACACAACAGGGATTTGCTTAGCACCTTACAAACTCCAATAAACCTACAATTATTGTGGACTGGTTGACCACTTGGTTAGAACCTGGGTCTGCCACAATTGCATCACAAGCAGGAAGAAGTATGAGTTTCAGAAAAAGGGGGGCACACACCAGAAAGAAACTGAACTTACTCTGCTCCCCTGTGGCCTTACCCTCTCAAGCTCCCAGCCCAAATGTAAAGAGGCAAGGGGGTGCCCGAAACTGCATTTTATTCCCTCCAGTGCAGCCTCTACTAGGCAATGGGGAATGCAGTTGGAGGGAAAGTGGGCTGGGGTGGGGGGTGGGGACACAGCCACAGTTGGGGGCAGGATTGGCCATAGTTGGAAGGAAAGAAGGTGCTATGGAGGGAGGGATGCCAGCTTCCAGGTGGGACCTAGAGATCCCTTGGATTACAGTTCATCTCCAGACTACTGAGATCAGTTCCTCTGGAGAATATGGATGCTTTGGAGGGTGGACTCTATGCCACTGTACCCCACAGGGTACAGAGGCCCCTGTCCTCCCCAGGCTCCATCCCCAAATCTACAGGAGTTTCCCAACCTGGATCTGGCAACCCAGGACCCCACACACACTGGTGGCCGGAGGGGGTGACTAATACAATGAAGGAGCACCTGTGTGGTTTGAGTACAGGACTGTGAGTAGACCTGGGTTCAAATGCCAACTGTGCCACAGAGCAGCCTTTGGCAAGCCATTCCTCCGTGGCTTGTCTTAAGGATAAAATGGGAGGAGGGGATCGAATTCCTTGACATAAAAGTGGGATTAAAAACATAAAGAGAAAGAGAATGGTGTAATAATAATCGGCACATAACGAGCCCAAGGACTCATAAAACCCTGCTGCCAGCCCCTTGTGGTAGGTCAGAACAGGCCATTTCTCCAGCGGCGCCTCATAAATACCCAGTTCTCCCAAGGTGTGAAAAAAGATTGTTGTTACAAGCAGGGGAAGTTTATTTCTCTGCTCATCTTCTTCATTCCTCCCTGCCCCCTGAGAGTTCATCAGTAAGAAAAGAAGATATGGCAATAGCTCCATCCACCCAAGAATAACAGCACATCATAACCCCCAATGAAAAAGCACTTGTTGGAAAGATTTCATGACAGCTGTGAAAGAGACATTATAGACATATACATTAAAAAAAAGATGTTTGAAGACTTTCAGAGGGGTTCCAATGGGAATTTTCCTGACATATAATAGAAAAGAATCCTATAAATGAAGCAACATCAGATATTCTCTAAAGCTCAGCTAATAAATACATGTATACTTCCAACTGACAGTTATTACTGTGGAAGACACTAGGATGCCTTAAAAAAAAAGAACCTATCTGAATTCATCTCTCCATGCAATTCCCTCACTCACCTTCTCCAGCCTGCATTTTAACTTGTCTGTCCCAATGACAATTTGCCAGGTTATGTATCCAACATTTTAACATTCTGATTGAGTTTACTGAAAGCATAAAACACTTGTAAAAATCCATCTCCCCATCACCCTGGGGAATGATTCCATTTGACAGACAAAATGACAATATTCATAGAATACCACTAACCGAGGCAGAAATGACAGGAGGAGGGGGGGAGGGGAGGAAAGGGGTGCATCTGGTGGTGGTGGGGACATGATAGAAGTTTATGGAGTCCTGCATGGTACAGAGAAAATGGACTGAGCACTTTCACCCCTTCTCCTCCACTCCAGTACTAGAACTCTGGGGCACCCAATGAAGTTTGTAAGCAGTAGAAATTCAAGACAGACAAAACCAACATGACTTCTTTTAAAATCAGGCAGTTACGTGCCAATTATGGCAGGGATGATTACTAGTTTAGGTGGCTTTGAAAGACAAATTCATGATGGAAGGGTCCATTGGGACTTCAGTGTTGGTACATGGCCACCTGTATTACCTAAATGAAACATTCATATCTGCTGAATACCAGTTACTGGGGTGCGACCATAGGGGGATGCTTTGGTTTCAGCTTGCCTAGTCATGGGCCATACAGGACTTTGGGACCAGGATGCTGGCCTAGATGAACCATTGGTCTATTTCAGCACTGTTGTTCTTTTGCTTGGAGACCTAGTTGTTTATTTCTGAATCCTGCAAGTTCCAAGTTTAGACAGCAAATTGTATCACTGCGTTTTTCTAACTGTGTCACAGGGACATAATTTCTACCACAAGATAGTTCAGTGTTGGGGTGTCTGAGCACCTGCTTCAGCAAAGCAGAAGACAGCCCCTCCTGTCCAATGCTCCCTCTAAACTGTGGAGTCTTGTGAGCAAAAATTCTACTTTGTGAGCTACTGGCAATAAAGCTGTGAGCGAGCAATTTGGCTACTGCATAAATTAGTTGGCTCTGGAGCCATCCTTCCTGAGCAAGGACAAAAATGTGTGAGCCGGAGGCTTAAAAACTGTGAGCTAACTCACACTAACTCAGCTTAGAGGGAACACTGCTCCTGTCCAGTAATTGTTATTTAGCTGTTTGCTAAAATGCCCAATTAAGAACCCATAACTGGTCCAAGCACCCTAACCTAAATGGCCCAGGTTAGGCTGATCTTGTCAGATCTCGGAAGCAGTCCTGGTTAGTACTAAGATGGGAGACCACCGAGGAAGCCCAGGGTGGTTACAAAGAGGTGGGTAATTGCAACTCTGAACATCTCTTAGCTTGAAAGCCCTATGAGGTCGCCATAACTTGGCTGCAATTTGATGATACTTTCCATCACCAACTGGTCCAAGCAGCCACTGAAGGTGATGTCACCCTTATGCTCATGGCAAGCCCCTTTGGAAGTCACTATTGTGTGTTCCCACTCAAGCTCATAATGAGGCTATGGAGTGGGTATTTAGACACAAGGACACAAGGTCACCCATGTGTGTTCAAGATGATGAGTCACTTATATGGTGGATTAATTACAAGTAACTTTAGAGCAAGATCGAAAACAAAGTGGATGGGCTGTGCCTATTCAAGGGTCATGTGAATTCACAGAGTGCATATATCCCGTACCAATATGGGATTCAGTGTGAGCCAGATCAGACAATATATGATTCTAATTTTTCCCTATGAGTGCTGGAGAGCGGGGCGGGGGAATTAAAACATACCTCATCTCCCTACTTCTAAAATCTTCCTGGGGGTATAACACTGAACAGGTTTATACACATGCAATCTAATCTGTGTGTGGCCAGATCAATTTCTCAAATGGACAGCTCGACCTGGCCTTAATCACATTGGAAACACACTATTTAAACACTGCATCCTCCTGTAGATGTTCAGAGGTGTTGTGTGTTCCTGCCCAGGCTCAAAATGAGGCTATGAGCTACTTTTATTTTCCCCACAACCCCATGTAAGGGAAGATAATATTCAATCCAGTTTAAAAATAATTATACTATATTATTAGAAAAAAATGAGATCCAAGAAAAGTACACATGCATGAAGAGTGATGGGCTGGTCTTATATCACAAGGACTTCAATTGCTTAGGTTTGCTCTTACCTGTGAGGAGAATCTGGATCAAAGCATGTCTTGGTGACATCTGTTATCTCCGTGTTACAGCAATCCCCACCATCAAAGTTGTACCTCTCATAGTTACAATCCATGTCACACACCCCATTTTGTTTCTTCTTGTTAAATGATGAATGGCGCACAATCCGGCAGTCCCCTCCATCATACCCTGTTAGGGTATGATTGCATTCAGGGTCACAATTATCATTTCCAATCTTGCTAATTTCACAATTAGCCAAGATGAGGCGATGTCGGAGGGAGGAGTTTTTAATCTCCAGCACCTCCAGTTCCCATGTGATGTTATAGGGGCTAAAGGCCTCATTCAAGTGCTGGTGCTGAAATTCTATCTGCTGGCAGCTGACCGTCGGATTCCGATGGTAGTCATCGTAGATATTCACCACCCGGTAGCGTACTGTCTTTTTGTGGCGGAAGCTTAGGCGCTTGTTGTAGCTGGCAATTACCTCCATGTTGTCACAGACAGTCTGCCCACACAGAGGAGGATCGAGGTTTGTATCCAACAGGTAGCCAGGGTGGGAAGAGAACTCAATCTGAGGACTAGGGCTATCTTTCATAGGAGACCAGATGTTTTTCACGTTCAGTAAATTCTCCTGGAAAACAAGCTGAGGTAGAGGAGCATCTATTTCGTGAGTCACCTGGACCATGTCCAACAGGATCTCCTTCTGAGATCTGGCCGTTCTCCAAAGGCTGAAGTGTTCTACATAGCCTCGGTAATTCTGGTTCAGAGCATTCCCTCCAAGCATGAGCACCTTGCACTTCAAGGTCAAAGGGCTGAAGATGCTCCCTACTTGCTCTCTGCTGGTGGCCACTTGGGCACCGTTCACATAAAGCTTCATCAAGCATCCATCATAGGTAACAGCTAGGTGAACCCACTGATTTGGGAGGTAGCTACGATGATCTGTGATAGTCGTGACTTTCCGGGCACGGTCCGTCTTCAAGGAGAAGAAATAGCGAGGATCTCTATTCCCCTGGTCACTGACGGTGTTAATCCCCAGGACCCATCCTCGATCACGGGTTGTGTATGAACATTTGTCATACAATCCTAAGTGCCCCCCCAAAAAAGAAAGAGAAATAAATATGGATGATAAGACAAAAAAGGATATTATTCTATTGCATTAAGTCAGAAAGATAATAATATTCATATTGAATCAGTTGATATAGGACCAGGGGGTTTACACCATCCCATTAAGCATGTGGCCATAAATCGGAGAAAAGACTCCAGCACTGAACCAAAGGTGAAGACCTGCTATAGGCCAGTGATGTGAAAGGGATTTCCCATTCATTGTCCAGGAATCAAAATTCTTTTGTAATTTTTTAGTGCTGAAAAGCTGTTTCTAGCTTTTCACATTAACTTTATTTGAACTGCAAGCTTGACGTCACTTGTATGAACCAACTCCTGCAGAAATGCACTAATTGGGAAATTCTTAGCACCCTCACAAAACTGCCGTTCCAAGGGTTCTTTGGGGAAAACCCACTACCCATTAAGTTTAATCTGTTTTATACTTGCAAACTGGCTTCACAGATGAAATGACATTACAGCTCATCCATGGTGAACAGTCTAGTATATTCATTTAGAAAAAGGACCATTTTTCATCCTCAACCGAATGACATAAGAAGAGAGAGTCCTGCAGATCAGGACAGCCCCTGGTTCAAATCTTGATTCTGCACTGAAGTCTGTAGGTAGCCTCAAGCCAACTACTGTCAGCCTAAGTGCATCTAAAGATGGTGCTATTTTATTTTGAGTCAGACCACTGGTCCATTTAGTTCAGCATTGTATGTTCTGCAGGCAAAGTTCTTTCTCCCAACACCTGATACTGGAGTTGTTTTAACTGGAGATGCCAGGGCTTACCCAGAAACCTTCTCATGCAAATCACTGAGCCAGTCTCTCAGGACACAGGGACTTCTGAAACAGGAGGACTTACTTTATAAGGTTGTTGTAATGATCAGCAAAGAACATATCTGTATACCCTTTGATGTTCAAAAGCACTATAGAACACTGCATGCTGTACTCTCACAAACAAACTCGAACACTCCTAGCGCAGCATATAATTAATTTAAGGAATTCATGACCACAGGACAAAACAATGGATTATAAAGGAAATCATGCAAATGGCTGTCAATAGTCACAATAACTAAATGAACCTTTATGAGCAAATGAATTCCCTTCTGAGAGTTGGGAGCAACAACTGGGTAAAGCTATTACCTTCATATCACTGGTCCCTCTAAGCTGTGGAGTCGAGAGCAAAAATTCTACTTTGTGAGCTACTGGCATTAAAGTTGTGAGCAGGCGATTTGGCTACTGCATAAGTTAGTTTGCTCTGGAGCCATCCTTCCTGAGCTAAGACAAAAATGTGTGACCCGGAGACTAAGAAACTGTGAGCTAGCTCACACTAACTCAGCTTAGGGGGAACACTGCTTCATATCCTCTTTTGTAGGCCATTGTGGGATGATGGACCAAAGGTTCTTGGGTGATATAAAAGCAGAACGAATACCTTGGATCTTGTTGCTGTGGAATTTCTGAAAGGTGGATTCTAATCTATATAATGAAGATATTTGCCTTAGATTTTCTATGCCTATTTACTTCTAACTTATGCTTACATCTGGGTTTATCTACCTACTCTGTGATGTCATCTTCCACCACACTCCACTCCAAACATGTAGCAGAATGGAGTAGGGGGCAGAGCTGGAAAATACATGGCAGAGCTGGAAAAAGTACAGAGGAAGGCAACCAAGATGATTAAGGGGTTGGAGCACCTTCCCTATGAGGAAAGGCTGAAGAGTCTGGGACTTTTCCATTTAGAAAAGAGACTAGCAGTAAAGCCCGTTGTGAAAGCAATACAACGAGATCTAGAAAGAGGCTCTGGGGCAGTGCTCTGGCTTTGGGCAAACAGTGTCAATTTGCTGTGGTGACCTCAGCAGGGTATAATGACAGAGTCCACTGTTTTCTCCTGAGGAACTGATCTCTGCTACCTGAAGAGCAGTTGTAATTGTGAGTAATCTGTAGCCCTCACCTGGAGATTGGCAACAATTGTTACCCAGGACAAAATGGCTGGTTTGGAGGGTGGAGTCTATGGCAGTGTACCTGTCTGAGGTCCCACCCCTCCTCAAACCTCACCCTCTTCAGGCTCCATCCCTCAAGTCTCCAGGAATTTCCCATCTGGAGTTGGCAACCCTATCAGGACTGGCCCCAATGTGTTTTCTCCCAAAGGCCAAAGTAGGTGACAGGACCAAGCTTAGTTGCCTACCAACAGGCACTGAGGGGAATGTAGGGTTGCCAGCTCTAAGGAGGGAAATACCTGGAGGCTTGGGGGGTGGATTCTGTAGAGGGCCGGGCGACGGAGGCATCGGCCTTCTGTCGCCCGCCTTGCCCCCCCAATCTTGGCCCGGGCGCCCGCGGCTCCTGCCAGCGGCCGCCCGACTCCAACCCCCCCGCGGCCACTCCAGCCAGGCGACGGAGGCATCGGCCTTCC